AGACGAATTGTTGAATAAAGTCGTTATTTTTGTTTTCTTTGTGTACAAAAAGTATTCTCGTAGCTTCGTAAAATTACGGTTGAACCGCTGATGTCACATGGATTATCTGGCTGGACCTTGATTGTGGTAATTACATTGCTGTCTATGGGAGGGTCAGAGAGCTCTCAGAATTCATCAAAAATATCTTAATTTGTGTTCCGAAGATGAACGGAGGTTTTACGGGTTTAGAACGACATGAGGGTGAGTAATTAATGACAGAATTTATTTTACTTTTTTGGGTGAACGAACCCTTTAAGGAGAAAATACTCAGCAATTGCGTTGATTAATGTATTGGAACATGGTTTGTCTAAAAGCATATTAAAAACAACACAGGCAAATAAACAACATAAAAAAAAATAGATTTTCACTACAAGGGGACTTCATTAGTGAAACTACCAACATTACCTTCATTAGCATCAACCTTTAACTAGGGAATTATTATGTCAATTATTATTATTATGTGCATACCTGTAAGCATACTGATATTCTTGATATCTACAATGCAACAAGCCCATAATATATGGATACTGCCTGAGTATTGTTTAAGCATGCCATTTACTGGCCTTTTCATATGAAGATATGACAAATTTATTTTCAAAATCTTCATTTAATGCACATACACATTATCGTTTATATTATCATTAATAGTTCATATCGTAGATATAAAACGAAGCTCTTATATAAATTTTAGCTAGCTTTTAAATGTTGAAGAATAACTTCAAGTAATGCCTTCTAACGCAATATACGAATCAGACTTAACAGTTACACAGACACATAAAACATAAAACACTTTACCATATTTTGCCGTAATTTGTGCAAGAGGGCATTCAACTATGATAGGGAAAAGACATGTTTTTAAGTTCATTGTATTTATCGTACTTTCACAGCAAAATTCTGGAATCGTCCATAAACTTCCTCTCAGCTGCTTCAGTGACAGCTGGCGTAACGCTGGCACGCGGCTGCTTGCTGTGTTTTGATTGGTCTGATTCACTTGGACGCTTCCAGAAGTGTGTAGTTTGAACTGGTGCGCACTCTGGTGTATTTAAAGAGCGAAAGCAGCCACTAAAGACACTGAGCTCAGCTGAACAGGAGCGATCTGTAAAGAGAGCAAAAACAGTCTGACCTGACTTTCTCCACTAAGAGGTGTAAATTCATCACAGTTAATAATCTACTCTACAGTAAGTCTACCTTTATTTTACAGTAGGGAATAAGCTAAATATATTGTGTAATTGATATGTTGCATAGAATATGAGCTTATATGTAGGCTACATGTACTTATATGTAGGCAGTCTATAGTCTCCCTAAAATAAACTAAACATTTTTATTCATTATTTGCTCTTTTTTCACATTGAGAAAAAAGAGCAATGAACAGATTATGTTGTTGTCATTATCAGAGTACAATACATATAGATATGTACTAGAAAAGGCTTTTCTTATACTGTTATTGTGGGAAGTGTCATATTGACTGGAAACAGACAGAAAGTGGCATTTGAATTGTCTCTGCACAATAATTTGTAGCAATTTAGAAACATTTCTGATTCTGACTGTTCTTTTTTGTGTTTTACTAGCCCACAGTTACGTCTCTGCCAAAAACTCTCTGGAGTCTTACGCCTTCAACATGAAGAACAGTGTGGAAGATGAGAACCTGAAAGGAAAGATCAGTGAGGACGACAAGAAGAAAGTTATTGAGAAATGTAACGAGGCTGTCAGCTGGCTAGAAAACAACCAGCTGGCTGATAAGGAGGAGTATGAACATCAGCTGAAGGAGCTGGAGAAAGTCTGCAATCCAATCATCACTAAACTGTATCAGGGAGGGATGCCAGCTGGAGGCTGTGGAACTCAGGCACGTGGAGCATCAGGGGCCGGTGCTCAGGGGCCAACTATTGAAGAGGTGGATTAAAGTTATGGACTTGTCACTTTGTATTTCATATCTCACGTAACAATTTGATCAAGGATTTTTTATATGATATTGCTGTTTTTATATTCCTGTTTTGTTATTTAACCACAAGCCACTTTAATTTAGTCAACATGTATATACTGTAAAGATGTAAATATAAGCATGTTTGTCTTTTATGGATAATGAACATTGTTAATAATAATAAAAAAAAAAAACATATCAAATGTGTTCTCATTCAGGACTGGTTACAGATTCCAAGACAAATCATGTTGATGAAAACTTTAAAGTAAGGTTATAATTTTGCAGAATTTTTTTTTGACATTTATCTAGAGGGACTAGTCAATGCAATATACAGTAATGTAGGTGAGAAGATATTTTCACTGATAAGTGTGACAACATCACGTGACACAATCAGTCAGATGCCACAGACGTCAACATTCACGGTACAAAACACAACAACACTCTTAAAAATAAAGGTGCTTAAAATGTTCTTCACAGCAATGCCATAGAAGAACCATTTTTGGTTCCACAAAGAACCATTCAGTCAAAGGTTCTTTAAAAAAAACATTTCTTTCTTACCTTTTTATAATCTGAAGAACCTTCTTTCGCCACAAAGAACCTTTTGTGAAACAGAAAGGTTCTTTAGATGTTAAAGGTTCTTTATGGAACCATTTAGACAAAAAGGTTCTTCTATGGCATCGTGAAGCTCCTTTATTTTTAGGAGTGAAGGTTGACAACACAGATGTTCAGCTTTGTCAGACTCACCAAAGAAAAGTCTTAAAATACTTTAAAAGATTGAAGGTCAACAACTTGTGACATAAACTTACTATTGAAAAATATTGATTTAGCTATTATCAAAACATTTTCCAAGCAGAATAGGAAAAGGGATTAGTTCTATAAGTGTTGCCCTCGAGAGTGAGTTTCCACTCACTTATTACTTAAAAATGAATGTTTTTAATGAAGCTGATACCATGCTTTTATGGCATCAAAAGAGCTTCCGATTTTTTCACAGCATTGATGAAAAAATGATTAAAATCTATATTATTTATTTCCCCAATCAAAGTATAAATTGTCCCCATTATAATTTTGTCATTTTAAATAATTGAGTAAACATTTCTTAAGTTTAATATTCAGCACAGCTGCTGACATGTACTGTGTGTCAGTTTGAAGTTCCACCTGCTGAGTGAAAAAAAAAAATGAGTGTGAAATCAGAATGTTTGCACCAAGCTGGCCTTGTGATAGCAGAGAAAGCTAAAACACTTGAATCAGAGACACAGCAGTTAGACGGACCACATAACTTCAACCTCAGAGCACCACTGCAGCACTTGTCTCGTTTGTGTTGTGGACTGTTTATGTTTTATTGCATAAATGGAGCAGAAAGTTGTTCTCATTACTGGATGCTCTTCAGGGATTGGACTCAGCCTGGCTGTGCATCTCGCATCAAATCCGTCAAAAGCCTACAAAGGTAAATGATCCGACATAAAACAATGCATTTGTATTGTTATTTTTAATTTACTCAGAGTTTATTTTCATGTATGTATGTCTGAAAAATACAGTTAACTTTAGTGGAAAGTCTACCTTGTATATTGTTATAATCACTGTATGAATGATTATTAATGTTAAGTCTACGCTACCATGCGGAACCTGGACAAGAAGCAGCGGCTGATGGAGAGTGTGAGAGGACTGCATAAAGACACTATGGCCATACTACAGATGGATGTGACAGACCAGCAGTCTATACTTGACGCTAAGAGAAACATTACAGAGGGCAGAATTGACATACTAGGTAAGAGAAAGTAAGACATTCTGGCCTTTCAAAGGGAAAAGTTTGTTTAAATGCAAGGTTTAAAGCCCAAATGTACAGGCATCCTTGAAATTAACTGCTAAAATATAAAATATGTATATAAAGCCCTGTTTTCACCAAAGGGATCAATTATTTCATTAATTCCCTCCCCAACGTCTTTGTGTTAGTTTGTAATGCAGGTGTAGGTCTGATGGGTCCTCTGGAAGCCCACTCACTGGACACTATACATGCAATCCTGGACGTCAATCTGCTGGGCACTCTCCGCACCATACAGACCTTCCTACCAGACATGAAGAAAAAGAGACATGGACGAATCCTTGTGACTGGCAGCATGGGAGGACTTCAGGGTTAGTGGGGGTGAAGGGAGAGACTCAAAGACAGAGAGAAAGTGAGATTTTTCAAAAACATGCAGCAAGGAAAGCAATTCATTCCAAAAATAATTTTCTTAATCAGTATTTGTCAATCTGTGTTGTATAAAGCGCTATATGAATAAATGTGGCAATGTTCATTAGAAATGAAAAGATAAGATTCAATATCCAGTGAATATTATATGTGCACAACTACATGCATGAGCAAATAGAACCATTTTGCCTATTTAATATTCCAAAATGATCTTGTCTTTTCATTTCTAAAGAACATGGAGCCACATTTATTTATATAGAGCTTTATACAACACAGACTGACAAATCAGCTTCACAGTAATAAAAAGGAAAATAAAAAATTAATCAGTTATTAAATAAATTCAATGTCAGATGTAAAGCAGCTCTACAGAAGGCAATGGTGTCATTATTTAGCTTAATTTCTGATGAGTGTTGATTCAGTTTAGTTTGATAAGTGTCAATGTTACAGAGTTAATGTCATTATCCAGCTTAAAAAAAAAAAGTTCAATTTGCATATGAAATACAACTACAAAATAGGTGTAAAAAATTAAAATGTTTATAAAAACACTTATTTTCAGGTAATATCTCTTAAAGTAAGTTTATTTTTCCTCACACTATTGGCACTTTTCCCCCATTTTAAGCTTAAAGGAGACATATTATGCCCCTTTTTACAATATGTAATATAAGTCTCTGGTGTCCCCAGAATGTGTCTATGAAGTTTCAGCTCAAAATACTCCACAGATCATTATATCATTTTGAAAATGCCTATTTTGAGTGGAAGCAGAAACACGCTGTTTTTCGGCCTGTCTCTTTAAATGCAAATGAGCTGCTGCTCCCCGCCCACTTTTCCAGAATAGAGCTGCCATTACAGCTCATACCTACTAAAAAACGTCTGTTTTGGTTCTGATTATCATGTTTATCACGCTGAAATCATGCGTTTTAAACCATATTAGTTTAAACTTCTGATATACGGTTTTCTGAGCGCACACATCCGAAGCACACAGACAGAAAGTGGCTGTCACAGCATGTGAGTACTAAACTAAGTTCTCTTTCACACACAAGTCAATGTTGTATAAGGGTTTTTTATGCATAATAGTAACCCTAGAATGTGATCAAACAGTTTAAAATAGCTGGGCTAAGATATATAACAATTTTTAAGACTGCAGAAATGTGTTAATTCAGTATACACATTATCCCACCGGTTACAATTGTGACTGACCATAAAATACAATTTTTCACACACTTTTCCAAAAAAATAAAAAATAAATTATTTATTATTTCAAAGGGTTACTAATGACACACAATTTGGATATTTTCATGTCTGGGAAAAATTTGGGATTAAACGGGTTAAAATGCGTTTTAAACATAAAGTTAAGTGGTTTTCATTACCCATTTTAC